TGGCAGAATTTGTCCAAACAGTGAATTTGTTAATTACTATACTTGTTTACAACAAACATTATAAACAATTTTTCCGGCCCGCTATGGATTTTTCTTTCTGAAGCCTTTATCTTCAAAAAAATATATTGATAATAATCCCTGGTTAAAAAACCGGACAGATTTCAGACTAATCCGAAATTTGTCCGAAACAATGCGGTTTAAGGTCAGGTTTTTGTCATCCGAAATTAATCCGGAAAAATCCGAAATCTATACGGTTTGTGAACAACTAGTGAAACCGGAGTTGGTCCGATGAAGTCCGAAATTAATCAGTTAATTTTAACTAGTGAATCCGGAATTAGTCCGAAACAGTGAAAAATTATTCCAGACAATTTAGTGAATGTTAATAAAAAAATAATTATACAAGTTACACATATTAATTATTATTACTTTATGGTACATTCAACATATTTTTCGATTTACCTATTGCAATTTTATTTGCATTAACTTAAAATTTCTAACGCTTGGAGATTTGAACCTACACCTATCTAACATTATATCGCACCGAAATCGAATACACTAACCACTATACCACGCTCGCATAAGAGTTCAAATTCATAATAGAATTTATGAACTGCCACGAAAAGAAATGACAAGAAACTAACACATCAGTGTTAATTTTAATATTGAAACAAGATAACTAATAATACTAGTAAATTTGTATAAACAAATTGACTGCAGATTTAAATATTTTATTTACCATAAGTAAATACCCTGAATAAAAAGTGGGACCGATTTCAGACTAATCATGAATTTGCCCGCAACAGTACAGTTTATTGTGGAGTTTTTTACCATGAATTAAGTTTGAAATCAATACTGTTTTTTATAACTATTGAATCCGTAATTAGTCAGGTTTAGTCTGCAGTTAGTCAGATAATATAAGACTAGTAAATTCAGAAGTAATCCAGTTGGTTTAACCAGTGAATCCGCATATAATCCGAAACAGTCTGCTTATTGACAGGTTTTTGTCGCTCAGAATTTGTCAGGATAAATTCAAACTAAATGCGGTTTGTGTATAACCAGTGAATCCGGAATTAGTCCGATCTAGTCCGAAGTTAGTCTGATGAAACGCAACTTGCAAATGTGAAATTATTAAATCCGGAATTAATCTGGTTTTGGTCAGGTTTTTGTAATACGAAATTATAATTATAGTTTGAATTTATCTGCATTTAATACAAATTGTTTTTAATATACAAATTCAATATTATACTAAAATCATTCTGGATTATGTCTTTGAATTGGATTGAATATGGATTGTTTTGAACTGTCTGTGGATTGTATATATTTACAAATTCTTATAATAATAAGACTTATTTTCGGACTGTGGTGTTTTGATCAGATATTATTCGGATTGACGCTGACTATCACCGGATTCTTTGCATACAGATTTTAAATTGTTCCATACTTGTTTCAGATTAAATCTTTTAACTGGATTTTTTGGCCAGTTTGTCGGCCACCTCATTGCCGTTGATTCCAGAATGAGCCGGGATCCAGACTATGCTGGGGTTTCGGTTTTGAGTAATTTCGTGGATAAGTTTACATGTTTTTGTGTTTTCAAGTCTATTGTTTATTAAATGCAGTGATCGTAGTGAGTCTGTCAGGATTATAGGGTTCTTGGTACTTCTCTCAAGAGCGAATTTAAGAGCAGAGTAGATTCCTGTGAGTTCGGCCATTAGTGGTGAGAGGCATCCCTGCAGTCTGACCCCCAGTCTCAAATCTGTTCCTGGCATATAAATACCATATGAGGCCCTATTCTTTTTCTCTGTGTAGGATCCATCTACGAAAATGAAGGTGCCGTTAGGATATTTCTCCTGCAAGATTTGGTTGTTTGAGGATCTCGGGTGGTCTTGGGATTTTATAATAAAACCAGTTTCAGTATCTAACTGAGCTCCTAAGTTGTATACAAGTTCTGTCCAGTTAATGTCAAAATAAGCGGGTTTGTCTGGTCTTTTAAGAGTTGAAACGATTTGACTAATAGGGTTGTGAAATTTTATCAGAGGGAATTCAGACAGATATTTGGGACTTTGTTTGTTCTGGATGATGTTGTTAGTGATTTTATTTAATCTGAGATTTATTGGATTATTGCTCCAACTAGCAAGCCGGGCTAGATTTCTGTTGATTAGAAGTAGTCTTCGTCGTTCGAGAGGCGGTTCATCGGCCTCCGACAGGAGGATAGGTATAGGTGTAGTCCTCATACACCCTAGTACAACTCTAAGTACCGCATATTGTAAACGGTCGAGGGTTTTTAGTCTATACCTGCTGGAACCAGCAATCAAAATTGCTGCCCATTCCAACAGGGATCTGGTGAGGCCTTTATAGGCATTGATCATTGTCTCCGGATGAGCCCCGTACGATACCTTCGCTAAAGTTCTTATGATATTTAGAGATTTATTGGCTTTAAAAACAATATCCGTAATATGATCTTTCCAAGACAGCTTCTGATCCATGACTACCCCCAGATAGGTAATTCTTTGAGAGTTCCCTATCTGGATATTGTCGACTCTTATCATGTCTCGGGAAAAGTCGGTTGTTTCTCTTGAAAAAATACAGAACTGGCTTTTATTAGGGGAGATACTAAATCCCAGATTTGCCAACCAAGGAATCAAGTCATCGATTGCACGTTCAATGTGGGCCTGGGCTTCATTGCAGTCTGTCTGAATGGAGTACAGCAAGATGTCGTCTGCGAATTGGAGGATCTGGACTTCTTGGGGAATTATTTCCCTAATTCCTATCAGTGCCAAATTGAACAGAAGAGGGAAAAGAACCCCCCCCCTCTGAGGAACTCCTACCCCGCAGACTCTCGGGTTTGAGGAGTCCCCTTTAAAGAATAGCGTTCTTTTAGTTATCATGTAAGAGACAAAGTTGATTATCCTGGCTGGAACGCCATCCCTCCTTAATTGTGCCAAAACCTCCAAAGGGAGAAGGGCATTGAATGCACCTTTAATATCCAGAGCTACAGCCGCAATATTTTCCTTTTGGGAGAAGCCCTCCAGAATGTCCAATGTGAGAGCCGAAACACAGTCAAGGGCCGATCTTTCTCTTCTAAATCCGTACTGGAAGTCCGGGATAAGGTTGTTCTTTTCTGCAAAGTGTTCAAGTCTGGCAAGGATTAGCCTTTCCATTAATTTCCCCAGAGCAGATGTCAAGGAAATCGGCCTAAAACCTTTACCGTGAGGTTTGGGCAGGAAACGGACCAGTGTCGACCTCCATGCCTCTGGGAATCTGGATTGTTTGAAGCATTCATTGAAAAATACTCTGATTGCCTCCAGGCACGCTGGTGGTAGTTTTTTAATTGTTGAGTAGGATATTCTGTCCAAACCCGGGGCAGAGTCCTTTTTACATTTCAGCAAAGCTGAGGAGAATTCCTTTTTTGTAAAATGCTGGTTGTAAATATTGTTTTCATCTATTTGGGTTAAGTTGACGTGAGCTGTGGGATGGATATTCGCTTTAACCAGGTCCTCTTGTAGGCCCTTTAGTTCCATTGAGTCAGGATCATTGGATATAGTTATGTTTTTCGAGGTTTTCCCTGAGAAGGCTCTAATAAGACCCCAAATTCGTTTTGATCCCAGGGTAGGAGAAATGGAATTACATAAATCTCTAAATGATTTTTTTTTGTTCTAGGAGGATCTTGTTCGTGTTTTTTTCGATCTCAATATATAATTCTAAGTTTTCCTTTGAGGGATCACGCAAATATGCTTTCCTTGCCATCTTTTTTTCCTTTATCGCTTCATCGCATTCCGCAGTCCACCACGAGGGTTTGATTGGAGCGTTGTTAGTTGGCCTTGGAACATAGGCACCTGCTTCCATTAAGGAGTCCACTATTGCTTGAGTAACCTCATTATAGTATTCCGTTGTGTTTCCTGGGTCGCTACTGAAGTTTGCAAACCTGAGAAGTACTTGCTCGTGAAATATAGACCATTCTACCTTCTTCGTCTGTAATCTTGTTGAGCTATTACAAGTAGTTTCCATTTGCAGCGGGATCGTTAGTGTGACCGGATAGTGGTCGCTGTCAAAACTTTCCTCCAGAGTCTCAGATGTGCAAACCAGGGCTAGGTCAGACGAAACCAGCTGTAGATCCAGAACACTTTCGGGTTGATCGTGTGTTGAGTGGTAAGTAGATTTTCCATCATTCATAATATTAAGTTCAAGGTTTTCTTGGAGTTGAGTTATTATTTTACCAAGTCTATTATTGTGAAAGGGGAGAAATCCGGTCAGGTGGGCATTGAAGTCCCCCATTAGCACCAATTTCCCATCCGTAGGTATTTTAGGGTTAATTCCCCTATCATGTTTTCTGTTATTTTGGAGTTGGGAAGGATGTATGCTGAGATGATGTATAGATGGCCCAGGATGGACTTAATTCGGATACCAACTATTTGTATGAGTTCCAGCCAGGGACCTTCCAAATCAATTTTTTCAAATAGATACTGTTCTTGATATTAAGCTTAAAAGAACCTATGCGACATTTATATTTTAGGTTAGTTCAGTTGTTTATTTACATTCCGTGGTTAGATTTAAGCGCCATAACCACTAGGAAATTCTAGGGAATGTAGGTTAACTAAACGCGTTCATTATAAAGGAGCATTCAGACCTCTGCAGACTGCCTGCCTGCACAGCCAGACAGACAGATGGTTGTTCACAGCTCGAGTTTTCCGGTTGCCCGCCTTCCGGAAAATTGGCGGTGAATTTGAATTTTCTAAAAATTTCAGTTACGTATTTGATGTGTATTTTAAATAAAAATAAACTAAAATAAGATATAAATACCTAAATACTATTATTTTATTATTATAAAATAATTTTTCACAAAATAAATTGTTAAAATATCACTTTGTTAATTAATGAGTAATTTTAACCTCTAAAAGTGTATTTGCACATGGTCGTCATAATTATAAGCTCCAAAACGAGGTATGTAAATCTGTGAATAGAGTTTATTTGATAGTTTATCGTTGTCACCCGACCTCGTCACTTCTGAGTAAGTATGAAATTTTATTCCATTTTAAAGAAAAAAAGTTAACAATATATTAAACTTTGAAAAAATATATATAACTATTCATCTTATTATTTTTCGTTTTATAAATAATTTATATTTTAGTAATTAATAATTATTTTGTTAATTAGGAGGTTATGGCAGTGTGTTGCACGTGTTCTGTTTGTAATAAATTTTATTTTCTTGAATAATAATAAAAGCATTTATTGTATTCTTTAATATTATTTATTACCTATTGTTTAATTATTTAATATTTTGTCGGCTGAGAATTATACTAAGTCATGTCTATTTTTTGATAATTTTTTAATAATTTGTGCTTTTTATTCCACGACACTTGTTGAATCAAAAGCACTGAATATTAATAAATTTTCCAAAAATGATCATGACTCAATACAAATCTCAGCCGACGATTTATTGTTTTCTAAAATTTTTCAAGTGGGTTTAATTTTAATTATCTTTTGTTTTTAGTTATTCAAGAAAATATGGCTGATTCTCATTACGAAGGAGTAAGTTTAAATTAATTTTTTTAATTACCTATAATAAAATTGTGTAATTTTTTTTGCTTTTTTTAAACGATTATTTGTTTTAGATTTTAAGTACAGTATACTGTGCGGGATGCGGAGGTGAAACGTCTCTAGAAAGAATTAGCGAGCATCCCTGTTTTCAAGGAGACAATACGGATCTTTATCTCGACGGGAACATCGTTAGCAACTCCTCCGAACAACTTCAAAATTTTCTAGATGGTTGCAATAAGAGATGTAACGTAAGTTTAAATATTTGTCTTTTTTCTAAGTTATTATTTGACATAAAATTTTTTTATTTATTAATAGTTTTAGATTTTTTTCATTAACATTTCTTGCAAACTTTTCCACTTTTCACATAATTTATTTTTAAATACATCTTCGAGTATTTTTAAAGAATTTTTAGGTAGAATAAATTGTTGTATACGTTAATATCTTGTTCTTATTTTATATTTTTTAACAATTATCCTATTATCAATTTATTGTTAAATTATTGTTGCCACAATTCATTGTTTATCACAAAGGTTTTCTCTTTCTATGAGTTTCCTTTATATATTTCTGTATTACAGTTTTACGCGTTATGAAGCACAGAATAATGGAAAGTTTTAATGTTATTTAATATCAATTTTATTTCTTTTTAATGTAGATCAACAAAGCACATGAATCATCTGTCGAAGAGGAAGCCGTAATGCAAGACATAGAAGTAGATGAAGATGGAGTGGCAGTAACATCCGATGAAAACTATATCCATATGTTGGAGTTAATAAAAAATAAACCATGCATATGGAATCACAATCTGCCATTAAGCAAGCGTAGTCCAGGCTTAATTGCTGATGCATGGATCTCAATTTTGAAATTCTTTAAAGGTAGTGTTTTACATAAATATTATTTAATTAACGCAGAAAACGTGATATGTTTATAATTAATATTTTATACTTAAAAAATATTAATCTTTATTTTATACTTCTATTTTTTTATGAGCTTGTCGAAAATTATATTTCATTGAGTCCAGTTATTCATACTTTTTTATATATTACTCTAAATAAATTTGTACAACTTTTCCAGTAACTGTTTCAGTTTGATTCCTCTATTTAAATTTTTTTATTTAACTACTTGAGTTATCTTTATTTTATTATAATCCGTCTAGCAATTCTTCTATTAGCCACTTTTATTTTTTATCTTTATTTTTTAAGGTTGGAATGTAGAAGCAATTAAAAAACGCTTCTCCAATTTAAAAGTAACGTATACTAGGAGGAAGAAAGGAGCTCCAAGTGGTTCAGGCGCTTTTCCAAGAAAACGTTGGATTCTAGATCCGTATATGACCTTCTTACACGATATTCTGCAAGATGAAGGAAGAAGGTTAATATAAAAAATGATTAAATTTTATTATTGATTGTCACACTTTTTCAAATTAACTTTTATTGATATTATTGTATTACTGCAGCACAAGGAGTAATGTATCTCCAGAGCGAGGTAGTTGCACGGAAGATTCGTCACAAGAATATTTTACAGCGCCAGAAGGTTCCGAGGATGAAAATATTTCCAGCATAAAGAAAGGAAACTTTCGGTTTACAGCTGCAAGTTCTCTAGGTATGTTTTACAATTTATAATTTTACACATATGTTATATTTCATGTTATGAAAATTAAAAATTTAAGTTCACTTTCTTGATGACACGTAAGTAAATTAAATTTAAAAAAAATTAATTAATTAATTAATTTTTGTGTCGACTCGAAATTATAGCCTGAAAAACCGAAAAATTTGAACATTTTATATAAATGAAAATCGGGTTTGCTTTTTCTACTGAATTATTACATTTAAGTCTCTTTATACTACGTTATAGCTATGGTTAAAGTGATAATAATATTTATCTTCTGTATTCTGTTGTTTGTTTTGATTTCATAATGGAAACTAAATAATTGAGTTTTTCAGAAATTTATTTTGAATCTACATTGAAATGAATTTAATATTTTTATATTTATTTGTTTTTAATTCAGTTTCTAGTCAACAGAAGAACAAATTAAAATTTTTAATTTGCATTAGAGTTTTCATTTAATTTTACATAGACTATTATAATTGTGTTATTTATTATTATTTGTTTTAGGGAAAAAGCGAAAACCGACTGAGGACTCGCTGGAAGCAGCAGTTGTGCAATTCATTTCAGAGAAACGCGCAAAGTCTAATCAAAACGTATTGAAACCAATAGAACAATGGAGTTTGTGGCTGGCAAATGAAATTTCCAGTTTTCCATTAATAAGTGACAGATTACAAATCCAAAATTATATAACAAATTACATTTCGGAAAAACGTTCAAGCATTGAAAGTGAATAAAATTTTGTTAACTTTAAAAATATAATTGTAAGTATAACATTACATAAAGTGATACAAAAAGCAGATTTTGTAAAATTTCAAAATCGCGTTATACAAAGTATTAAAAATGAGGAACTCTTCATATTTATGTGATACTATAAATTAAGTATAAGTTTACATAAAGTGATACAACAGCAGATTTTGTAAAATTTCAAAATCGCGTTATATAAAGTATTAATGGTGTTCCGCAGTGATCGCCTTTTAAAAATGGCTGCTCAAATGTATACTTGATTTGAAAATGATTTTTCTCCCAATTCGGGCAGTTATTGCAAAATCGGAGAAAATACAAGATATCCTGGATATTTTATTTTTCATTTGCGCGCAAGAATTAAAAGATTTTTTTAGATTTACAACGACAGGAAGTAAAATAGGAAAAAGTTAAACAAATGCGCGATACATAAAATTGCCACCAGAGGGCAGCACCTAATGGGTACATCTAATTTTCTCATTTTACTTCCTGACCTCGTGTATTATATTGGATTTTCAATTTCTTGTGCACAAATGAAAGAACAAAATTTCAGGATAACTGGTATTTTTCCCTATTTTGCAATAATTGTCCAAATTGGGAGAAAAATCCTTTTCAAATTATGTTTACGTTCAAGCAGCCATTTTTAAAAGGCGACCACTGTTTGAAATTGCGCAACACCGTTAAAAGTGAGAAACTCTTCATATTTATGTGATGCTATAAAATAAGTATTAAACGAATTGATAAAGTACTAAGTATTTTTTGTAACTTGTAGACATTTTAAATTTCATTGGTTTTAATGCAAGCGTGTTAATAAATATGTAAACTATATCATTTTTTTAACTAATGTTTTTAACCTTTATAGTTCATATCTTTCAATCTTAAAAACAAATACATTATTCATACAGGGTGTCCAGCGATTCTTTAAAAAAAAATTCAAGGACTTCAAGGTTTTCAAGGTCCAAAATAATTTTTTTCAAGGTTATAATTTTCAAAATATTTGTTATTTATAATCGAGTATAATAGTGTATTGCAAGAAAATTTTTACTTACTGCCTAAATTTGAATTAGTAAAAATGACTACTAATTTGATTTAGTGACTGACTTTTTGCTTTTGAATTAGTAAATTTTACAAATAAATAATCATTTCTAAAAATTTTTTTAGCGAAATTTAATAATTAAAAAGCAAAAAGTCAGTCACTAATTCAAATTAGTAAACATTTTTAATAATTCAAATTTATAGAGTAGGTACTTATAAACAATTTTACGATTTCTACATACAACAGTTATTCATAAATAACTTTAAATACAATTTATTGATAAATTTTAATTAAATAATTGAATTCTTTTCAGAATTTATATTAAAATAATTGATATACAAATTATTGAATTAAGAAAAATTTTTGGAAACAATTGAAATTTTGCAATGAATTTTATTAAAAAATTTAAAAAAAAATTTAAAAACAATTGAATTAGGTATGCAAAAAGAATTTAATGGAAAATTTTTTAAATAATTGATTTTTGCAAAAAAAATTATGCAAATTCTATTTTAAATAATTTTAAATAATATTTATTTAAAATATATAATTATTTATTTTTATTTTTTTTTTATTTTAAATAATTGAATTAATGTAAATTTTTTTTTAAATAATTGAAAGTGTGTGTAGAATTTTTTAAAAACTTTTGTTTAATAATTAAATTCTTTCGGTTTTTAAAATAATTTATTTCTTGTGGTGAATATTGTTATTTATGAAAATAATTGTATTTTGTTATGAATTTTATTAAATTTTAAGAAAATAATTGAATTCTTGCGATAAATACTATTATTTATTAAAGTAATGTAATATTGCAATGAATTCTATTAAAATTCCTGAAAATAATTAAATTTTATTATATTTAAAGATAATTTAAATTTTGATGAGAATATTTTTAAATTTTTGAACATAATTGAATTTCTGGCAAGAATTTTATTAAACTTTTTATAGATAATTGAAATTTTGCTAACAATTTTATTAAAATTTTTGAAAATAATGGAAATTGTGACAAGAATTTTATTAAAATTCTTGAATGTAATTGAATTTCGGCGAAGAATTTTTATATTTGTAAAGATTTTTTTTTTTTTCTTCTTAAATGACTTGAAGCTAGGCCAACTGTCAGAACACACTCTTATATACCGCAACTACTTTTGCGTTTCTACAGAACGACTTTTTGAGGTTAGGAGTACTCGCATTTGCCTGGACCACCCGTCAATAGGTTTTCTCGCCAGAGAAGAGGGAAACTGTAGAAAACCTCTCCTGAGTACAACCGGTTTATCGACAGCCGAGTTTTAACGGTGTGTACTGGACAATAATCGACAGTGCACATCATTATACCTCGACGTCAAACCTCCCGCTCAGATTATCTCACGTGCCCGAAAAATCCCAGGCTAATGGGCGCGAACCAAGTAAATAACGGTTGAAAAACAAAACAATTCTTTCTTTTTGTAGTTTTTATAATATTATACTTTAAGGTGCAAAAATCGTTTTTAATATTTCAAATAAAATGACTGTGAAAAAAACATTAAAGTGGGGACAATTTTTTGCCTTCGCAAACGCAAGTACGCCTTAAGGAAGTTATTTTTTGTGTTTACCAAAGTAATTTTACGTTAACATTTGATTTTTATTTAAATAATTCACTGTTTATTAATAAAATAATGAATAGCATCCAAATTTGCAGTCAAGGATAAACAGTAAAAATACATATAAAATGATTTGGGAGCGTTCACAAATGATGTCACGCTTTTGGGGGTAGAGGGGGGTCTCTAATAAACGTGACACAATGTATTTTTCTCATGTGTAATTGCAAAAATTGCGTGACATCATTTATGAACACTCCCTTTTAAAAAAAACTTTTTTTTTATTCAACTCTACTAAAGTAGAAGATACTAAAATGTTAATAGTAATTGTATTTATTATTGCATATTACTAAAATTATTAACTTTTTTTTCTAAACTTCCTGTGGGGCAGGTAAAAATTTGACGTTTTCAGCCTTAAAAGCGCTTATTTACGAAAAATTATAATATTAGATACAAAAGTAATTATTGTTTTTTTTTCTAAACATATAAATAACCTTTTTACATTGGAATTGTAAAAATATATGAAAATTATTTATTATTTTTCCATTGCAACAAGAAAAAAATCAAGTTCTGCGCTACGCGGAGAATCACCCGTATACAACTGACTATGGCCGACTATTGTATCAGTGGCCGACTATAGATGTTTTCTACTTTTTGGGAAATTATTGTTCTATTTTGTTGCATAATGACCATTCGTTAAAGAAAATTAGCAAATTTTTATCGCAAAAGTGCCACAAACTCATAACAAATAGTAAAAAATTCGAAAAGTTGGCCATTTTTTGGGAAAAAAATAAAATGTTCCGGTCTGTCCTTAAGTGGCAGACGACAGTATCACTTACCCAAGTATGTATATTGTCATATTTAACGTAGAAAATAAAATATATATGTTTAAGGGGCACACCTAGTGAGAGTGACTGAAAAAAACGGTGATTTTTAGGAATTTTTTTCAGGGAAATTATTGCATCTAATTTTTTTTAAAGTTTTGTACATGTATATTTGTATAAATAGTGAACATTTTGTAATTTTTTTAAAGAAAAATATCTTTTTATAAAAAAGTTATTCGCTATCTCCTGAGTTTCCGAAAAAAAAGTTCTCCCACTGCTGCAGTGATTGCGGCCTTCTCAGTGACCTAAATCAAAAAAACCAAAAAGATTATTAAACTAGAAGATATTTGCCATACTATGACCCTCGGACGAAAAAAAATATTGAATTGCAACAAAATGGCGGAGTTTTGAAAAAAGCTTATAAATTTCGCCTAAAAAATCCGATAGTTTTTGGCATCCCAAAATTTTATTTTTCATCCAAAAAAAAACTGGAGCCTCATAGTATGGCAAATATCTTCTAGTTTAATAATCTTTTTGGTTTTTTTGATTTCAGTCACTCAGAAGGCCGCAATAACTGCAGCAGTGGAGAAACTGGTTTTTTTGGATATAGCGAATAACTCTTTAAAAAAAAGATATTTTTCTTTGCAAAAATTACAAAATGTTTACTATTTATACAAATACTAGCTCCTCCGACGGCCGCAAGCGGCCGTCTACGGTGCTAGTTTTTATATGTCCATTGTCCAAGTCCATTATTTTATTAATAATAATATTCAAATTTTTTCAGTTAATAATTTGCTTATTTATATTTGAAATGTTGACGTTTTTTTTTGACAATGCAAAATAAGATTTATTATGAGTACTTTCTCTTAACAAAAATAAAATTTATATATTCGCGCTCTTTTTAAATAACATACGACTGCAGCGCCACCTTCACATGTACAAACAATTTTAAAAACACCCTTCTATTAAGATTTTACATTCTCATTGCCCATTCTTTACTTCGATACTTTTCGATACATTCGACGTTTCCACTCCATGTCTTTTTTAAGAAAGGATACATGTACAAAACTTTAAAAAAAATTAGATGCAATAATTTCCCTGAAAAAAATTTCTAAAAATCGACGTTTTTTTCAGTCACTCACACTAGGTGTGCCCCTTAATATAAAGGGTACCATAAACTGGGGCTATTAGGAACAGATTTCAACTTTAAAAGCTTGTAACTTTTTTGTGTAGGGGAGACTGGGGCTAAATGTTAAACTGTCAAAACAGTTAATAGTACATTATGCAACAAACGTGGTTACCTCCCTTGTTCCATACTTTAATTTATACAACAAAGGCGTATTATGGTTACTCTATGCTACCTGTACCGGTGCATGCTAAGTTCTCCCATATAACCCAGCTGGTCAATAAAGTAACCATTATTGCCCTAGGGAGATAAAGGGTACTTCGTTGACCTGTGAGCGGTCAATAATGTACCCTTTATCTCCCTAGTGCTATAATGGTTACTTTATTGACTGCTGGGTTATAAGGGGGAACTTTATACGCACCTGTACAGGTAGATAATGTGACCATAATACGCCTGAGTTGTATAAAATTCATTATCTTTCAAACGGAAATTTTATTTTTGTGGTGTCCACATTTAAAGTTTGTTTTCACCCT